TCACCTTTTCTTTTCTTCTTTTCCTATAACAGAAATAGGGGTTCAGCCCCTATATTTTTTGAATTTTCTTTTCTTTCTTCTTTTTCTTCTCATGAATATGTTGGAATATGTTGATTTTCTATATTTTAACATGAAGTTTATACTTTTCTTATGAAAATTATGGATATTTATTAAGCAAATATGATTATTGAACCTAGGGAACTACCCTACGATACATGTTTTTGCTTGAAAAAAATCCATCGCCTAGGCAACTAGGCACCCCCCTGTCGCCTAGCCTCACCTTGGCCCCTTGAAAACTATGATTAGAGTATTCGGTTCATATGAGGAACAGTTATATATGTGTGTGTGTGTGTGTGTGTGTGTGTGGTCAATGGCTTCAATAAAATATCTGCCTCCTTGGGGATTTTCTTATAATTTTGGATGATTTTATTATATAAAAAGATCCCTCTCATTGGAGAAAAGCAGATTGGCATGTTGCACTGTTAGATCAAAAAAAAAAAAACTCTCCTTGTTCTCTTCTCTTCTTTCCTCTTTCTCATTATTCATAACAAGAAATTTCAACCAAAGTTAAGCATAGTAAACTTAGAAGATAAAGACAGCAGTATTTAGAATGCTTTATCTATACTATTATAAAGCAGATACTTGCCTTGGTTTTGGTGCAGGTCATAAAAGTTAAATTTGATTATCTAATGTCAACCTATATCTTTACCTTTTACATGCAATGTGCATAGCATGTGCCTTTACCCTAGTTTGATAAAAAAACTACCTTTTTGATCAGTTATTTTGATAAAAACAATTACAATAAACAAAAAGAATAGATCGATAAGACAATTAATAGAGAAACAGTTAAGGTGGAAATCATAAAAGCTGTACCCAAGAAAGTATTTGTGTTTCGTGGTAGAATCCCTTTGGCATGGTTGGGCGCAAAGGTCTATCAATCAATCTACAAATAAGAACCTACATACAAGAAATACAAATTTGATGGATATCTGAAACACACACACAAACAAACATAACTCTTTCACAGGCTTCAGTGGTCAGTAAATCTAACAACTCTTAACTCTTGCATATCTTGCTACACTTTCAAGCAAGCAGCTGAATAAAGTCATCTTGTAGGAGTATGGAAAATATATTAATAAAGTACCAAATATAAAGATAATATGTTAAAAAACCATAATGCAGATAAGTAATGGCATTATGTGCAAAACAAGCAGCAGTTATAACATAGAAGATACAAGCATAACAAATCCAAAGGTAAATATTACAACCACTGTTTTTTTTTTTTTCTGGACTGAGATCCATAGAAGATAGAACAATAGACACTGTTACAGATTTTTAGGGTATCAAACACCGCACAATGGACAATCTTTAAAAGGAACTACAAGTGTAAGGCAATGACTCTTGATAACATCTTTAGCTTGATCATCCTTTCAGAAAATTGATACATAATGCATAAACCAAGTAAGAATGAGTAGAATAAGCTCTTCAAGAAGGTATATATTGCCTACAATTCAAGAAGGCATAATGTTGCTACTGATGTGAAAAGCCACTTCCCCTCTCTAGGTGGAGTAGAGTGGATATGCCTTCTTGAAATGGAGTGTCCTTATCTAGTCTTCAAAAGTCATCTATTCCCAAATATGTTTAAAGGAGTGTCCTTATCTAGTCTTCATTGTGAGTCATGTGAGCTAGCAAAGCATTATAGACATTCCTATTCAATCAGTAATAAAAGATCCCTTTCTCCTTTCCATATTGTTCACTCTTATGTGTGGGGGCCATATCACATGCCAACCATGGGGGGCTACAGATATTTTATCCTTTTTATTGATGACTATTCTCATTATACTTGGATTTACCTCATGAAATCCCGGGATGAAGTACCCACTATTGTGAAAAATTTTCATGAACTCATCCTCACCTAGTTTAATACTCGTATCAAAATATTCCGTTCTGACAATGTTAAGGAGTATTTTGAGAGAACCCTTTCCACCTATCTTGAAACTTTTGGGGTTATTCATCAAAGTTCTTGTTCCTACACTCCACAACAAAACAGAGTGGCGGAAAGAAAGAACAGACATGTGGTTGAGATTGCCAGATCCCTTTTGTTTGCCTCCCATGTGCCTATACGTTTCTGGGGAGATGTTGTTCATACTACTACCTACCTAATCAACCGTATGCCCTCCGGGGTCCTTGGCTTTAAAACCCCCTTTAGTCTTCTCTTCTTGGATGAGGATCTCTTTACTCTCCCTCTCCGTGTATTTGGGTGTGCTTGTTACGTGCATATTCATAGTCACCAAAGGCATAAATTTGAACCTAAGGCTCATAAGTGTGTTTCTGGAATATGCCTCTACACAAAAGGGTTATTGTTGTTTTGATCCAGTTCGTGGCACCCGCTTTGTATCTCGGGATGTCACCTTTGCAAAGTTGACTCCTTTCTTTAATATTCCTTCTGAGGGGGAGAAATCTGATGAATCCTTTGTTGTGTCTCCTGCTGTTCCTCTTCCCATCCTTTGTGAGTCTGGCCATGGGGTGTCCACCTCTTCCACTGGACCCACCCTTGATACCCCTGCTCCTCCTCTTGCTTCAGCTCCTCCTCTCCAAAGGTGTTACCAAAGGCGGAGATTCAGACATATGCAGGTTGTTTCCACTCCTTCAGAAGAGCATCTTGTCACTCCCATAGTTCCTGAGGAAACAGGTCAGTCCTCTGTCGACCCACCTTTGCCTGTCCCAGATCTTGACCTTCCTATTGCTCTACGCAAGGGCAAGCGGAAGTGTACAGCCCATTGCACCTCCAAGCATTTATCTTATAGCCTTCTCTCTCCTTCCTACCACTCCTTTCTTGCTTCTATCTCTTCCCATGTGATACCCAGGTCTGTACCGGAAGCATTATCTCAACCTGAATGGAGGGATGCTGTGATGACTGAACTTGAAGCATTACATAAGAACCATACCTGGGATATTGTGGACTTGCCGGAAGGGAAGGAACCAGTGGGGTGTAAATGGGTGTTTACCATTAAATATCACT